AATGATAGCAAGGAGTAAGGGGAGAAAGAGGAGGAGGAGAAGAAGAAAAGAAGAAGAAGAACTGATTAAATGACTGGTCAGTGCCCCCCTTATTAGATGCCCGTGTTAGTCAGGATATTGATCATGCCAAACAAGTCTGCCTTTTCTCTAGTGCTATACCTTTTTTCATTTTCCTAAATTTATGTCTACAGACTGTGTTAAATGAGGTGATTGTATGAAATGTGCTTTTAAGATGTAAAATAAAGCGATCTGTAGAAAAGATGTTCACGCAAAACTCAATTTCTGGGATGAGTCCAGAATCCAGAAGTAGACTGTGGTTGGCCGACTTCGTAACCGCTTCGTGGTACCCCCAATATAACTGTGCCTTATCGTCTATATGTCTAGACAGTTTAACAGGGTTGCCTGGATTTGCAATGTTTGATTCTAATCCTTCAGATGTTAGTCCTATAGAAGTCAAATCTGAAGAGGACAAACTTTGAAAAAAAAATTATTTATTGTTGTGAAGACTTACTTGACGTTCTACCCCCCCCCCCCCCCCACCAGGGCATCATACCGAGAGATAAACACCCGGGTGACACAAAGAGCCACTATTCGGATAACGATTACCCGGGGACAGGGTCCAAGAAACCCCGTTCAACCCATATGTTGGGTTATATTAGGGCTTCCGGCAACAACCAGAGTGGGGCTTCAAAATAACAAAAAAATTATGCCCTACATGGGAACGTGGTTAAATTGTTTGTAATACCTGTGTGGTTTATATATTCTCTGAACTTGTTTCCTTATCGTACTACTGGCAGACAACGCTTTTACTTCTGCACAGTTAGCTGTTTTGATTTTTTGTTTTAATCAGACTGACCCAGTTATTATTTGAACTCGTTCTATCTCTGATTTAATTTTCTTTTTAACCGTTCCCCTTATTACTTACCATTAAATTTAACATCTTCTTCTTCTTCTATACTTCTTATTCTCTTCCACCTTGTACCTCATCGAAGTGTCGGTTGGGGGGGGGGGGGGAATGTAATGTTCGTTGATGAGCTCTGTAAAGAGCACTATTAAGACTGATGTTCATTTCTGTAAGGCTGTTCTTAATGCCACCACTCCATATTTTCCTAGGTCTTCCACTCGCTCTATACCCGTTACATTTAACCACTACCGTTAGTAAAGACTACTTATTGCAAGCGTTGGAAAAAAGAACTGAGTTCTACAATATGATAGATCTTGTATTTACTTACACCTATTTTCCCCTGTGTACTATTTTGCACACATTTACCTGTAATACAATTTTTTTTTTCTGTATTTCTTTTTAAAAAAAAAAGAATTACAAGACCGCCGTGCCCGAGAAAATAACGCCATGCGATTAGTGCACAAATAAGTCAAGGACCTTATTTCTCGCTGGTTCAAGTTTGCACATCAAAAGTTCGGTGTATCACGTGATCAGTCTGTGTTGTGTAGGACTTCCGTCCGTCCTCAGCTTTACCTCTGACAACGTTTTATGTTCAACAACAATCGATCAGCTGTTCATTTGTGTGAAATCGGTCATTGCGTAGTTCATTGTTACATAACTGACAACGCCAACTAGCAGATAATCATCAATTGTATTACCGACTAGATTAGTGTTTTGTTCGGTACAATACACGTCTTGGTACGTGTAAATAAAGTGAAAGGAAAAAAGCTGCAAAGCAGACTCAACGGCGAGATAAGAAGTTTGTGTCAGTGGAGAAACATCTTTCGGAAAGCTAAAAATAAAACGGCAGACCGTGAGTATAGGTAAATTTATTTTAAAGTGTGCTGATTCATAGAATGCCTTTCACTTTTTAATAAGGAGGTTGATGTTTGTTTTAGTCACCTAACTTTATAAAATTGTCGATTGCTGACTTACTCAGATTACTATAATTACAAGAGCTGTAAGTTTAGCCCTGGCTTGCATTTGTTTCCGTTGTATTACATCACATTTTAAAGCTTTCACTATTGATTGCATAAAAAAAAATATCAACCCGGTGACTTGATAAATAAAAAAATAAAAAAAGCACGAAACGAAGTGGTCTATCCTATATCTAAACAGTTAAATCAGACACTTATACTTGTAAACATTAAAGCCAAGAAAAATCATTAACGTGTAAGAAAGTTAGTAACAGAAATCAACAGCTGCAATAACTGATCCTATCCTATACTTTAATACTTGTTTTATAAGCACTTTTATTGCATTATTTCACCACTTTAAGATTGAAGAATATTTGAAATATTTTAAGTTAATGATTCTAGGGAAATGTTCAAAGTACTTTAGTAGGTGTAATGTTTGAAGTACTAGGGTAATGTTACAATATCAATTACTAGTACTAGATTAATTTTTACAATAGGAGGTTGATGTTTATTGAAGTATTTAATGGTGAATATATTGTACATTTGTCCGAAACCCAAGTTCAAGGTGTCTCCTTCGTGCCAAAGAACTGCATGGCTGTTGGGTGAACAGTCATTAACGAAGGCAGTCAGGTCATTGTAGTGGCGACGCCTGCTTGTAATGTCATAAGTCCCTTTCCCAGCTAATAGTGAGGGTACTGCTGGGGTGACCATTTATTAACCCTCACATAATGCTTCAGGTCGAAATGGACGCTAGGCATGGCCACCATTTTTTTTTTTTGGGAGCTGTGGCAAATGTTTTTTTTGTGTGTGTGTGCTTCTGCTAGATGGTGGCCGTTGCATTTTTGCTCCATTTTTAGACTGGAAGGATATAGTTTTGTCGCCCAGCTTCTGAGTTGAGTGCATGGTGTGACATTGTGAGCTGCGTGTGTGTTTTTATTGTTGGCAAAGGAGCGGAGCAACTATGGGGTGACCTGTTTGCTATGAAGCTGAAACTAGGATTACCAGATTGTACATTTTATGCCACAAATTATGGTACAGTTTTATTGGCCAACAAGACCAATGAAATTACCAATTTTTTATCTAGAGTGTGGAGGATAAGGTTGGGAACAAACAGAAAGAAGACAAGTAAGATTAATTGGTAAATGAAGAAGCTGTTGTTGTTTAGTGCACATCAGCAATAACTGAAAAAAAAAAAATCTTGGTTGAGTTTGAAAATGTTTTTCTCTTATTAAAGTGTTTTCAATAAGTTGTTTACCATACTTCATATTAAATTACACTAACAATTTTCATGATTTTAGTAAAACTGTCTGCTGTATGAAGTTATAGCACCTTAATATTCATGAATGCAGCTGTTTGTTGTAGGAGCACATCATGAGTTATGAGCTTTTATGAAATGTTATTTTAAAGCTTATTATTTTTTTTAGCATTTTGCAGTCACTTTTAAATCTTACAGTCCTAAGCATTGAGTGATGTGTCTGGGGCATTTTACAGTGAATCTCAAACATTATTTTTTGTGTTTGCCATATATTTTACATTTGATACAGAACTTATCAGAAAATATAAAATGTGTGTAGCATTTTCTAACAATGATAGCTTATTGACTAGACCAGTGGTTCCAAATTAGTTACCTGTAAACCCCTCATGATTTGCCAAGATCTGCCACAGACCCGATACTTTAAAAAAAAATAGTAATACTATAGAACTGAGGACTGGCTGGTCGACCAGTTAAGAATGCTGTGCTGTTGTATGGAGACCCATTTTTGAATTCCCAGTAAGGTCATGGATTTTCTTTCTTCGAGGGGCAAAAGTAAAATCCTCACCTGTACAGTCTGTGGCGACAGCACCTCCCATGCAGCCCTAAATCCTCAGCCTCAAATTCACCCCCTTCATCCCATGCCAGCATCACAGAAGTGGTAAATGCAGGTAGTAATGTGCATTTTTGTTGTTGTTGTTGTTGTATACCACAGAACTTTTATAATTTAAAAATATTAGATTTCTAAAATGGATTACATTCTAAAGTTCTATTTTAGAGGGACAGAGGGGGGGTGCACTGTGTATCACACACCCCTAAGATTTGTCTGCGAAACCCCCCCCAAAAAAGACTGGGCTAGACCCTTTCCTGACAGTTGGGTTTTGTACTGCATTAAGGTAGATTTGAAAAATAAATGACCTGGGCTTTCAGGTCAATACAGGCAAATTTGTGTCTGGGATATATCCTGGGAAATAAAGGCAGCTCCCTTGATTGTCCAGGATATATCCTGGGAAATAAAGGCGGCTCCCTTGATTGTCCAGGATATAATCTGGGAAATAAAGGCAGCTCGCTTGATGTTGACCACATTGTCCACCACATGCACTATTCAAATTTGGATGTAGAGCCTTGTGCTGCTGTTATCGATCCAGCGGCGCATGAGCTTTCGCCCTTTGGCCTTGTGCCTATGGCATGGTAAAGGTCATATTGCTTTATTTCTTAAAATACATATCTATTGCAAAAGTTTTTGGATTCCCTAACAAAGCTGAAGAAAATGACCCTTTTCTGGGCCTTCAAATGTATTGGGCAAAAAAAGCTTGCCCTATATTTTATAGACCAATCTGCACTTGGTGGGTGATGTGGTTAACATCTTGCTGGCTGCCTTTACTTTCCAGGACTGTGCATGGTATCCATTTAAGGCTGAGTCGACGTATTAGCCAAGGTCATTTTATTTTTGAGGGGAAAAAAGTCAGTGTCTGAACCAAAGACTTTCTGATCCGCAGCCACTACCACCTGCGGCTCCTGACCCTAACAAGCATGTTGCAATGCATCTCCCTTAGAGGTTAGGAACCAACTGTCTGCATACAAGTAAACCAGATCTGTAGAAAAGATGTGCACGCAAAACTCAATTCTTGGGATGAGTCCAGAATCCAGAAGTTGACGAACAGCCAGAAATTTCCACTGGAGTTTACAGCCGTTAAACACTAGAAAGAAGAAGAAAGAGTTCAAGTGCCTTCAAACTTTCTGAAATGGGTTTACATTTTTAAAATGTCATTCATGAAAACATGTATATAAAATTCCCAAGAATAACAGTGTTTTAAAACCACATTATTTAGATTTATTGGTTTAATTAAATTTCAACATGTCTGATCAGGTGAGAGATAATCAGGCCATGTCTACCGGTGAACCACAAGAGGGAATGATTCTAGCAAATGGTCATGCTAACAGTGCAGCAGATGGTGCTTTAAAGATTTTCAAACGTGATCCACAAAACAGGTGCGTTATTTGTATTTCAGAGGCAGTCTAGAGCATTTTAAATAATGTACTGTGAATGAAATAATAGATATGAAAATATCAGATACCCTTGGAGAATATAATGAAAAAGAACTGGTCATCTAACTTCATGCTGCAACCTTTTATATGAGAAGATCTAGCAGTCAGTAGGAGTATTTACTATGGGTAACTTTCATTAACCATTGCTACATGAAACTCTGGATGTTAAACATGACAAAGTGGGTGAAAAAAAGATGGAAAGGGGATAGATAATATGGAAATTAATTTTTAAAAATAAACATTAAAAAAAGATCACTTAATAACCTTTTCCAGTTTGTGACCGTTTGAAATTTCTTCTTTGTTTAAATTTATTTCTTTGCTTCATTCTCTGTAAATTTTAAAATATTATCTATGTTACAAGCTTAAAGGAGCCATGGTAATGAGGTATCTAGACAGTTGCACACCATCTTGAATGTCTAGGGTTTGAATCCATGCTGGGACGCTTTGTTAAAAAAATATTTTAGTTTCCCTTTTCCATGTTTACACAATTAACAATCTCAGGGATGAGAATGAAACCGGTACAAGTCCCAGAAACCTCACTTAGCCATATAGCACATTTATACTGGAACACTGCAAAACGATAATGCTGTAAACATTTTTCTAGTGGGTGAGGTGTGGGACACATTGTTATAATTGATCTAGCACTCCCAGGTTGACCCAGCCTAAAATAAGCACTAGAATATGTCTAGAACGTAAAGGTTGCCAGCATGATACTGGCCTCAAGATCTATCAAGTGCTGATTGGGTTTTATGTTTAGATGATGAAACAATATCACGGCACAAGGGTAATAACCCATAAGTGCTCTGTTCTACGTTTGACTCAAGCCTGAGTCCAAAGAATCTCAGCACAGTGCACAAACTCTGTAGCACTGGCATTTACTCCACATTTTGCCCAGGCAGTTCCATAAGGCTACTCTTTTTAGATTTCCAACTGCCAAGGGATTTTTTTAATGTGCGCAACAATCCACACGGGCGTCCGATCTTATTACCCAGAGACCAGGGGAAATTACTAGAAGTCCACGTGAAAAATCCTAGCCTTCACAGGGGCTTGAACCCGGGACCTCCAGCACTTGAGGCGGATGCCATGCCTTGAAACTACTCAGCCTCTGAACTGTGCAGATTGGTCTGAACATCTATAGGTCTTGCAAAATATGCTTGATTCGCTATTTGCGTATAAAGGCTTTTAGCCTTACATGTTATGAGCTTGGGTTTATGCATAGGCAGTTCTGGTCTGCAAAGAAATCTTGCCACTACTAGTAATCATAGGCTTGATCTGTGTTGTGTGAATGCACTAGCCATCAGTGTCAGTATTTATGCAGTATGAATAAGTAAAGATTATGAAAGGATAAAATAATTTCTTGTGTATGGAAGTTTAATTTAAAAGGTGTGCCTGTTTAGCATTCTGATTTAGTGAGCATGAATAAATGCAAGAATTGGCACGACTACACAAATGCTCTGGTCCCCCCCCCCCTTTCCCTAATAAGCAATGAGTTCCCATTTCAGTTTTAAACAAAGTTTTTCAAGAAACAGACTAAATGAGATCAAAAAGTTTTTAATTTTTTTTCACACAATGATGAACAACCGAACCATACTGGCAGTGCCAGCTTTAGGCTGATTTAAGTCCACTCTTTTCCTCTGAGCTTTGAATATTATCCAGATTATCTGCTCACTGAACAGTCTCTTTGGGTGTGAATACAATCTTTTTTTTTTTAATTGCATCTTTCCACTTGATCCTAGAGAGACTTTTCCTGTAAGCATAAGAAATAATTCACAAGTTTTGATTGGAACTCATAGCATTTGAGGAAATATTAGAGGAAGCACCAGACAACATAAACATTGTTTGCTGTATTGGTCACACTGGAATTCAAACTTGCCTCCTACTTCCATTTGCAAGTTGTATGTTGAGTTGAGTCAAGAATTGTCATCACAGCACTCTGGGCATTCCCATGTGTGCTCCGTACTTATTTTCAGCAGCCAGCACAGAGATCCAGTACTGATGGTACCGGTCACAGTCTGGTTATATGTCCATCTTACCGGACCCTCAAGTTACACCCAGGTGCCTCATTCTCATTCTTACAAGTTGTTTGCTTTAGGACATGTTTACTTAAATGCAGGGCCAATTAGACCATAATTTGAATCCCACTGTGATTTATATATCTAATGGTTTTTATCCTTTGTTTCGTGCTGTTTCAGCGGCTTTGGTTTAACATTCACTCATTAGAAAAACATAACAATTTAACTAGAATATCTTTGCCTGGCACAAGCAGTGTAAAGGAATAAAGACAGACCCAGAAATACGCAGATAGGGCAAGTATGGAGCAAAGTTGAAAATAATGAGAAGGACATGTGAAGAGCTGCATGCAATTACATAGGATAGGACAACTAGGCAGGAGTTGGTTGAGGGCCTATGCTCCGCTGGGGGTAAAGGGCAGAAGAAGAACAACAACAATTCAACACTGTAAGCAAGTTCACGGCAGACCCTGTTAGAATAGTCAGCAATGTTGTACTGTGTTTCTAGTCATCATTTTACGTGTTTATTTCTATAATTTCAGAATCTTTGTCAATCGTGGTCTGCACCTGGATAAAATCAAGTTCTATGGGTTTGATATGGACTATACACTTGCTGGTAAGAATGATATTTCTTGTAACATCATCATCATTGTGTTCACCAACTAAACTCTGGTGCAAAGTTCTCGTTGTTTGTCCACAAACTTCTATACTTTGGTCTTGTTCAATGAGTTTTTGGTGCGCATCCAGTTTACGGATCTGGTTTATTTGTATGCAGTCAATTGCTTCCTCGCCTGTCATGTAGATGCACTCCAACTTTGATGGTAATGCCTTTCTTTAGTCAACTTTTATGACATGCTTTTTAGGGGACAGCGGGTCTCCACCCCCCCCCCCCCCTTCCCCCCCACCTTTTCATAACAGAACCTTGGAACCCACTCGAGGATTCTTGTAGGCTAAAATAGATAAACATTATGCTGCCTTCACAATAAAAGTTGGCTACAGTGTATCCACTACTAACTATGGTAATATTCGGATGTGAGGCACCAGGCTTTTCCGCACAACTCTCAGACAACTAAAAAAGTGACAAGAAGTTTTTTTTTGTGTAAACCACCCGTTGTGGAAATCAAACCCTGATAAATGCTGAGGGTTGTATTATGAAACAGTTCCATTAACCTGTAAGCCACATGTTTGTATGTATGCTTACATACCTCTTTTCTGCAAAGGTTACAGTTGTAGTCCCCAGGTGGTTTTTGTTTGCTTGTACATCTGCATGAGTTATTTTGGTAAATCTGTTTCATGTATTTTATTAGCTTGTGACGAAGTGGTTCAAGCCGCTTGCCTTGCTTTCTGAAGTTCATGGGTTTATTTCACGACAGCATTGTTCGGTTCACAGGGGCAATTTTCTGGAGATGGTCGCCAGAGCTGCAGAATTTGTGCTTTGTAATGGTGCTCTTGGTGACTGGCTGTTTTGCGATGAAAGACCCAGACAAATGAGATAAAACCCAGTGCAATGAAGTTAATCCTCTCTATTTGAACTTTATGTATTTTATTGTTACTTTTAATAAGAGAATCACAATAGCAAGAATGGTAAAAGTAGTAAAGTTTTGGGCTTATCGGGTGTATGTGAAGAGCGCCCGTATTTTTACAGACCATGGGTACTAGGTGGGTAATGTGGTCAGCATTAAGTCGGCAGTTTTACTTCCCCACGACAGCCATCCTGGTACCCATTTTAGGCAGGGTCGACTTGTGGCGCCCCATACCATGATAAAATCCACACAGCCAGCAGTGGGTTGCGAGCGGTACTTTGGAATTATGAGTCGGACTCGCAATTCTTATAGCAAGAGTAGCCTTTAACAAAATAATGTCTGTCAGCTCCACAAAAGAGGTTGGCTTCAGAGCATGCACCGCTCACTGCCTTTAATAGTATTATGTTGTGAGGTCCTAATCTTTCTCATGGTGTGACTCTCGTACCACAACGTAAAAGCCATGAGACTAATCTTTTTTTTTTTAAACCTCTGCAGATTTTGAACTCTGGTATATTGAAATGATTTCACTAATCTCAAACCACAGAGCCCTTAAGATACCAATACAAAAGTTGTCAGTTGTTGTGAAACAAAATGTGCAAGTTATAATTAGAACAGTAGTTTCCAACCTGGGGGGCATGAAGAGGTTTCAAGGGGGCATCAAGCAGTTTTGAAATTGAGTGCATGTGTATTTGTAATAATCTGTTATATTTTTTTTTTCACTTTATAAATAATATAATGAAAAAATTTTTGAAAACTATTTTTAAAACAAAAAGCCAAGGACATTTTGTTGTTGTTGTTGTTGTTATAAGCAGTTTGTGTATCTGCAGTTAAAAATCTAATTAATATGACATCACAGGCATTTATAGATTAAGAACACATTCTGACCAAAACGTATATTCATACTGTGTGTTTTTCTTGTTGCGGAATCCATGGCTTCCACTTGTTAATCATATTTTGTTGTGTTGAGGGTAGGGGGAGGGACGTGGGGTTCTGTCCATATATTCAAGGGGGTGTGGGGATCTTGCAGTTTACTCAAGGGGGTAGTGGAGGTCGTGCTATATATTCAAAGGGGCATGAGGGTCTTGCCCTATATCTGGGAGAGGGGTGAGGTTGCGACCTGAAAAAGGTTGGAGGTTACTGATTTAGAACACATGTTTTATGCATGTGAAACCTCAGACAATAAGCAGAGGACCCCCCCCCCCCCCACTGGCAACAAAAATGTAATTTTTTTAGAAGAGTGCACACAATATCGTCTTCTTATTCTTCAGCATTCCAAACCCTTTGAGGTTCATTGCTGCAGATACCACCGGCCTCCATACATCTCTCTGGTCTGCCTTCTCTTTCCATTTGGTGACACCAAGTGTTTGCAGGTCTGCCTGGACATTATCTCTCCATTGTCTACTTGGTCTGCCTCATGGTCTACCACCATTTATTTCCCTTGTGTATACAGTTTTTACTTCTCTGTCATCTGACATTCATTCAATGTGTCCCAACCATTCCAATATCACGGATTGACAAAATAACAAGCCGAGCAGTAGTCCTAGAGGCAATGCTCAGTTGTTGTTTTTGATTGTGATACTGTAAAGGTGACTAGTTCTACTGTTTTATTTGACTGCTGTCTTTTCATACTATAAAATGATACTCTCTTTTTTCAGTGTATAAATCTCCAGATTATGAAGCAATGGGGTTTAATCTGTTAAAAGAAAGACTCATACAGATTGGCTACCCTGAGGCCATCAGGCTCTTTGAGTATGATCCATCATTCCCAGTGAGGTGAGTTTATGTTGTGTTTTGCTTTATTTAATGAGGAAAAGCATAATGTATGTGTCAGCTTTACAGAAATGGTGAAAGTAAACACGTTTATTGTAATTTGATCTGTAAATCTGATATATACTTAATATTGTTTTTATATATTTTAAAGACTTTTTTAGCTTTACTGTAGCCACCTCATTTTGATTATTGAATGAGATGGATACTGCCCAAGTTCAGTATTGTGAAATCCTACATGGTAGTTTGTTCCATTTGTTTTCTTAAAGGTCCGTGTTGTGAAATAAGTAGCCAGAGCAGACAGCAGTAACTATGGGGAAAAGTAGGACTACGGTTATGTTAGGGCACTGACTGTCCTTTTTTGTTTCTTTTTTTATTGTAACTAGTATGAAGTATTGCTCTGAATGTCTTCCCTAGAGTGGTGCAGTTTATGTGTACCTGATGTGATGGGTAATTCCCCTACTTTTAACTTTTTGCAAAAGAATCTGGAATTCAAAAGAAATAATGCTTTATCTTGTTAAATGTGGCTTTTGAGGACAAAGGAAAACCGCCACAACATAGTTGGTCATATGTGTCATTTTTTATTGTTAACTTATGCCAAGTATTGCTGTAAGTGTCTTACCTAAAGTGGTATAACTTATGTTTGCCTGATGTCGGCCAGTATAATTTCCGCGCATGTAAACTTTGACAAAAGTGTGAAGTTTAAAATAGTGCTTATTGTAGTAAAATGTGGATGTGGGGGACAAGGGGAAACCAGGAGGAGTTGAGTTGATTCAAGAACCGACATCACAGCCATCGCAGAGTTCCGATACTAATAGTGCCAGTAGCATTCTGATTTAACGTCTGTCTTGCCTTTTCTCTGAGCCCCGAGCATCAGCTAGAACCCCTCGTCACTCCCTGCTGCATCAATCTCACCAGACTGGTGATCCATCTGCTCCTCCAGACAATACTCCTTACCCGTTGTCTCCACAGTGAAGTATGCTACTCTGCACGAAGCATGCCTGTCCTGACCTTCATCAGCATGCTTTGTGAGTCAGTTACAGTCACGATATGTTTGTATGTCGTGTTCTCTAACCAGCGGAAAGCTGCAGTGACCACCTTCACCTCCATTCTTAACTTGGATGTTGTCGTATCATATGCTAAGCTCTACTGCACCAAACGTCGACCATTAACTTTTGCTAAGAAACCCCAAGCACTTCTTTTGCCTCTTGACATTTAACCGTCTGTGTAAATGATCAAATCCTCTGAGCGAGCATTACCTTGAATTAATTGCTAAATTTTCACCTCCGTGGCACCTGCTGGCCAGTCTCTGCATTCCTGGCTCAATTTGATTATGACCCTACACAAGTAAACCAGGAGGAAAGGTTAATGAGCAGATCACCAGTCTGAAATTTTATTTTGAAAGGGCTTCCCATTACAAACCTCGTGATATAGCTTTCATTATTTTGGTACCTTGAAATGTGCCCATCAGTGTTCCAGTCTGAGTAGATTGTACATGGTAGGGTTGCTAATCATGTATGTGCATATCAAGATTTGGTTCAAAGGTTACATCTGTATGTTGTCACAGGAAAGATGTGTGTCCTAGAAATGTTTACTTTTGTTTGTTTGCTGGAGTTGTGTCACAGGTTCTCCATGCAGTTTTTAGCCCAGCTATTGCTATTTTCAGTCTCCTTCTGACTTTTTAAGTTTTATCTATTGTAGTTAATTAGGGAACAAATAAATTCTAAAGAGGATTGACTATAGAATAATGTTTTGTCTGTTTCAGCCTATTTTCATTATAATGATATCAATTCTTTGTTGTGAAATCAATCGTCATTACAGTGATGGAGTCTGAAAACATTCATAGTAATTTTTTAAATATTGTCAGAAGAGAAAAGAATAATATCCTTTGCTCGCTTGCCTTCACATCTCTTCCATTATGGTTTTGACAAGTGTTGTCTGAGTTTTTTTTTTTTTTAATATTTATTTCAGCAACTGTTTTTTATTTTCATTCTCTCCACAATCTCTGTAGTTGACTTCTTCTGTATGTCCACATTTCCTGGGCCTTAATTCAGCTTTGTAATTACTTGTCCATTGTTTGTATTTCTGAGCCATAAAGTAAAGTTGAGTGAGTATACATAACATTTCATGGTACTAATTTATGTTTTTTTTTGGTCTTTCCAGATTTTAACTATTTTCTCATGTAAAAAATATTTGTAATAAATTTTAGGCTGTCTTTGTTTTTATTTTATTATTGCCATTTTCTGACATTTTCATGACCAGGATAATAGAAGCATCTTACTTGTTTTAGTACCAGTGTCTAGTTTACTTATTGTCTTTATCAACATTTGAGCACATCAGTCTGACCCATTCCTGCTCCGTCCTCTGATGCAGCAGCCAACTCAGTGTCTCCTGCTCATCGTACCCAGTAGGAGTTAACTGGCATACTTTCTTTCTTTGACCCATAGCCTGTTTCTGCATGCTTGTCCTTGTTAAATACCACTTTCCAACAAGCAGTTCCTTGTCTCTAACTCCATTGTGTCAAGATCTCTTCTATTTTGCAGACAGCATTTGTTTAAAAAAAATTGGAAGTGGGAAGCTTGCTTAAATGCCAACAGCAACACCTGTTAACGTTCTTGCATGCTTCTGTAATTAAGTCATTGGAAAAGGTTTCAAATGAACACTCAATATAATTGACTGGCTTTTTGGTTGAAGCAGCAAACAATAGGAAATATCCTGAAAAGTAAAGGTCCCTGGCATTACATTGACAACATTACCCATTGAGTGTCCACTGGTCAGTGAAAATATTGACCTAGCACCATATACTCGTTAGGCCACTGTTGTGAAAAGAATTCTTTAATTTATTAATTTGTAGGTGCTTTAAAAAATATGTTTCTTGTTTGTGTATCATACTCCAGTCTTTTCAGTAACACACACTCATAATCTTTTGTTATTTTTGTTGTTTTGTGTGTGCGTGTGTTTTAATTTGTCATATTTATGAACAGTAGATTGTTGGTGTCCATCATAGTGCAGCTCGCTTCTGTCTGCTCAGTATTTTCAGTATTTACCCATTCATAATATTTATCAGGGAAGAAAAGAAATAATGGTGTCTTAGAAGATCTGAACATCAAAACAGATTGGATAGTAAACAGCATCCTGTCTCAGAAACTGAACTATTTTGGTCATATCACGCCCCACAGCAGATTGTAAATAATAACAGCCGAAGGCATGGTACTGGGAAAGGGGAGGGGGGCAGGGGCCAGCCGTTGCGAAGATGGGCACATAATGTAAGTGACATTTTGGGCAGGAAAGTGCAGGGTGTGCTAGAGATTGCAGTTTTTTCATGTTGACCATAGTGAGAGCGATGTTCTGCAAAGGACCTGCTGCATGGTGAATATTTATCACTCGTCATTGATTGTATAATGTATTGTTACTGAAACCTCTACATTGTTCTGTGCAACAGAAACTATTCCCGGTTCGTACCTTTTCTTACCACCGCATTTAATTTAGTAAGCAGTGCTAAACTGTCTTGCTTCATCCCTATAGTTTTTATGCTCTGAAATCACTGGGGAAATCTTGTAATGCACCCATTTATTTTATATTATATGTTTATCTATGTCCAATTTGCTACAATTGTTGTACTTCTGAAAATTGGGAAAATTGATTATTCTTAGCAAACACATGTAACTTTTGGGTAAGAATGTAATGGGAACAGGTTTGATTATCTCAAAGATAAAAGTACAAGGATGTATTTAAATAAAGTAATTACAATCAAAAATAGAGAATATGGCCAGTCCCTGTGTGGGTTCCAGGGTCCCATTTTAGAGTGCAAAAAGAATAGACCCACTGCCTCTGACATCATTGGCACCTTTCCGTCTTTCTAGATGATAGTGTTATATTGCGCTAAGAGGAGTTATGGGACTCACAGACCATGGCGATGGCGAGTGTGACTAGCAAGACCCGCCAGCGTTAAGAAGAGTCTTTCATTGTTATAGCATGGGATTTCAAAACCGTTGTTGTCAACATTTATATTTAGTCTGTTTCTTCTCAGACACATCTCTCATCCTTTCTGCAATCATTTCTTCCTTCATTTTCATTCTCTTCTTTTATGTTCCTGCATCATCTCCAACAGCAATTCTCTGAAATATACCTTTCTTATTCTGGTTTTGGCCTTCAGCCTACAAGCATTGTAAAGGCTGCCATCAGGTCGAGAATGAATGAATATACTATCCTCCTGATCTCGAAAGGTGTTTCAAAAGAAGTGAGAACTAAATTCCAAAGAGTGTAGAAGCAAGTACACATCCCTGCTTCACTACATTGTTGATTACAAACTCCTTCAATGTTACACAATCAAAATTGATAGTACCTTTCCTATCTTTGTGGAATGACTCAGTAATGCTCAGTAGAGTAGGTAATCACCCAATCTTCTTCAACATGTTGAACAGATCATTTCTACTAACCAAATCAAATTCCTTGGTAAGATCAATTCTTCTCTTCTTCTTTCATTCGCCTGAAATAAGTTGTCTATATCAGCAATTTTGTATAAATTTCACTGTCGTTGTTAGTTCATTTAGTGGTCCATAGAGTTTACGTTCCACTGTTATTCTTTCTCTCCAAAAGGTTTGCCTTAATGTGTCAAATTCAGTGCAGTCCTGGAGTACATGCTCTGCTGTCTGGGGCACCTTTCCACAGGTGCACATGGCTGATACACCTATCTTGAATTTTGTGTACATGTGGTCATGTAATCGGTTGTGCCCTGTTCTGAGGAGTAAGATCAATAAAAGCAACACCAGTGGTTGATTTTGTTCACGGCATTTTTCCTGCCAGTTCCCAGGAAAGCCACACTGTGACTTTTGGTAATCTGGTCTCCTAGGATCTGGAGTCTTCACAGAACAATTCTCGCAAGTACTTTTCCAGCAATACACAGCAGTGATATTCCCCAGTAGTTATTGCAGTCACTCTGATTACCTTTGTTCTTGTACATAGTTATGATGCTTGAGTCTTTGAAGTCTTGCGGGACCTGTCCC